CCTTAAAGAGAAGCAGGACACAGCTCAATGGAGGGAGATTCACATCAGACCGGTTAAGGCAGCTACCAGCACAGAAATTGCTTATGACAACAGCGTCTCCCCAGGTGTTATTTATATCCCTGATTGTTCTGTCAAATTACTAACCAGGCGGTGTAGGCGTGGCCAACCCGCCGGTTACATATAGTAAACGAGAAACGAGCGCGCATGCGCACGGACATCAAAGGCGCATGACGTCAATGATTAAACCTAACCTAAGGGTGAGAGGCTCCGTTTATTTTAAAACGTTAAGAAGATTACACAAGGAACAACATACAACATTTGTATGAAAATGGAGTCTGACACAGATTACACTGAGCGGGTCAACACAGTGAACAAGCGAATTAGTATATGCTCTAGGAGAGAAAAGCTGATAGAGCTTCTGCTGACTGATTACGACATTCTCCAAGAAGAGTTAGCAGCTCCCAAAAAAAGGGCAGACATATTAAACATACAATTAGGTGCGATGCCATACAAAACCAACAGGCGTGCAGCTGACCAAAGCAAGGTTGTGAAAGATTTGGAGGAAAAGGGACCAAAAGCCATGACAAGTAGAAAGGACCTCTCCAAATCTATTATACTCAAACAAAGTACACTGCACTATAGGGACACAGAGAAAGAAATGCCGCCTGTACAGACCGCATCAGTCTTTGGGGTACAAAACCGTGCAGAGAAGGTACATCCCCTGCGCCAAAATCGAGAGGACGTACTTACTAGCCTAATAATCACAAAAAAGCCACTGCACCCTAGGCAGGCAGATCACGGGAAGCTCAAACAGCCTACACCCAATCCTCAAAAAGACATGCCGCAGACCACAGAGGGACCACCCTCAGAGGATATGTGTAAAACACAGGAGCTCCGAGAGTCTACACCGGAGCTTGAAAAGTCGACAAAGACTGCATATCATAGGGTAAAGTCCTTTGACAATAAAAAAAATTTAAGAAGAGCCAAGGTTGCCCCAATGACTGCATCAGTCTTTGGGGTACAAAACCGTGCAGAGAAGGTACATCCCCTGCGCCAAAATCGAGAGGACGTACTTACTAGCCTAATAATCACAAAAAAGCCACTGCACCCTAGGCAGGCAGATCACGGGAAGCTCAAACAGCCTACACCCAATCCTCAAAAAGACATGCCGCAGACCACAGAGGGACCACCCTCAGAGGATATGTCTAAAACACAGGAGCTCCGAGAGTCTACACCGGAGCTTGAAAAGTTGACAAAGACTGCATATCATAGGGCAAAGTCCTTTGTGAATAAAAAAATCTTAAGAAGAGCTAAGGTTGCCCCAATGACTGCATCAGTCTTTGGGGTACAAAACCGTGCAGAGAAGGTACATCCCCTGCGCCAAAATCGAGAGGACGTACTTACTAGCCTAATAATCACAAAAAAGCCACTGCACCCTAGGCAGGCAGATCACGGGAAGCTCAAACAGCCTACACCCAATCCTCAAAAAGACATGCCGCAGACCACAGAGGGACCACCCTCAGAGGATATGTCTAAAACACAGGAGCTCCGAGAGTCTACACCGGAGCTTGAAAAGTTGACAAAGACTGCATATCATAGGGCAAAGTCCTTTGTGAATAAAAAAATCTTAAGAAGAGCTAAGGTTGCCCCAATGACTGCATCAGTCTTTGGGGTACAAAACCGTGCAGAGAAGGTACATCCCCTGCGCCAAAATCGAGAGGACGTACTTACTAGCCTAATAATCACAAAAAAGCCACTGCACCCTAGGCAGGCAGATCACGGGAAGCTCAAACAGCCTACACCCAATCCTCAAAAAGACATGCCAAACAAAAACCACTGCACCCTAGGGAGGCAGGTAACAGGAAGCTCAGACAGTCTACACGATTGTCAAAAAGAAACGCCAGGTGTACAGACTCCAGAGGAACCACCCTCTCTAGAAGTCCAGGGTCCACTAGCCCCCCCAGACAGCATGTCACCTGGAGAGGGCTGTTCCTACAACTACAATATGCTAGCATCCTCCTCACACTCACCTCCTGACCAAAGCAAAGTTGTGAAGGATTTGAAGGAAAGGGGACCAAAAGTCGAGGACCTGTCCAAATGTCTTTTGATCAAACAAAAACCACTGCACCCTAGGGAGGCAGGTAACAGGAAGCTCAGACAGTCTACACGATTGTCAAAAAGAAACGCCAGGTGTACAGACTCCAGAGGAACCACCCTCCCTGGAAGTCCAGGGTCCACTAGCCCCCCCAGACAGCATGTCAGCTGGAGAGGGCTGTTCCTACAACTACAATATGCTAGCATCCTCCTCACACTCACCTCCTGACAGTAACACAGCTGTGGGGCCATTTGTGAACACTGGTATTCCAGCATTCAGTATATAAATTCTCCTCTAAAACTATAACATTCACAACAAAAGACAGCAATAGCGGGCAGCATGGTGGAACAGCGATTAGCGCTGTGGACTCACAGCAAGAAGGTTCCGGGTTCAAGCCACGGCTGACCTGGTGTCTTTCTGTGTGGAGTCTGCATGTCCTCCCTGAGCCTGTGTGGGTTCCCTCCGGGTACTCCGGCTTCCTCCCAGTTAAAAGAAATACAGCTTAGGTTGATTGGCGACTCTACATTGCCCACAGGAATGAGTGTGAGTGCATATGGTTGTCTGTCTCTACACTGTAAGCCCAGATAAGTTGACTTTACTTAAAAAAAAAACTGCCATGATTTGATCTGCACATTACATCTACTGAGTGCAAAACCTCTCTCTTCCCCTCTGTACTCTCTCTTCTCCAGAATAAAAATTGAGAATCCAAAATTATGCCATCCATCCATCCATCTTCCTCTGCTTATCCGGAACCAGGTCGCGGGGGCAGTGGTCTAAGCAAAGATGCCCAGACTTCCCTCTCTCCAGACACTTCCTCCAGCTCCTCCGGGGGGATGCCGGGGCAT